GGGGAGATCCGGACGGAACCTTGAAAAAATAACCCTGGGAACCATGAAAAAACAGATGAAAAAATATATTAAAATGGATGTCAAATTAAATATAACAAAATGATCGTTTTTTGGTGTATTTTGTTTTATTCCATTTTCTGGTATTTCACTGATTTTCAATATCATGGGGAAATATTTCTATTTTAAGAAAGATGGTTACAACCAGTTTTTTTAACCACAATCGTTGCGTGATCTGAATCCAATTTTTTAGATAGATTCTTCGGTTCTTTATTTTTCAGAGTTCTATATCACACACACACACACATATATAATATGTCTATATATGTGTATTTATATAATACATGTGTATATATATAATATATATGTATAGATAGTAGCTTAATCATTTGAGAATTTCATATATTGTGATAGCCATGGAAACTATTATCTTAAGGTATTGTTTCACATTATTTTTCTCATCTAAAGTTAGCATTTAATGTATTGATGAACATATATTTGTTTCACAATATATTTGCTTCATATGTGTGCGGTTCATACTGAAACTCCTTTACGTGTAACTTTTGTTTCACAAACAAGTTAAAAAGGTTCAAATTATGAAACAAATACATGTGAAAAGAACACATTGGGAAACAAATATATGCTAATTGATATTCTAGATTTTAGTCTTAGATGAAAAAAATCATATGAAATGTCACTTGATGCACTAGTTCTAAAGGTTATCACAATTTCATGAGTTCTTTAAAGAAGATCCCTATATATATATATATATGTACACACACACATATACACACACACACTTGGGATCACATGAGACTAGCCTATTTTCATTAAACCTGTGAGACCACTTTTTTGCACTTGAAACTTCACAACAAAACACTGTGATGTAAAATTTACAATGTTTTTGCTATGAAGGTTTGGGTTCTTTTTACCTTCACATTGTTTTTCTGTGATGTTTAAAGTGTAAAAATGTGGTCTCACGAAAACAGGGTGGTCTCACGAAAACAGGCTGGTCTCACGTGAACCCAACCCTATATATATATAGACTTGGGATCATGTGAGACCAGCCTGTTTTCGTGAGACCCGTGAGACCAACATTTTACACTTGAAACTTCACAGCAAAATGCTGTGAAGGTGACTTTTTAAAACCTTCACAGTGTTTTTGCTGTGAAGGTTACGTGTAAAAATGTGGTCTCACGGGTCTCACGAAAACAAGCTGGTCTCACGTGAACCCCACCCTATATATATATATATATATATATATATATATATGCAAAGGATAGTGTAAAAGGATAAGTAAGGTGAGAAGCGTGAGAAGGGATCTGGACCTTGATCACTTATAATCTCTTCTCCACCCATGAATTGTGCTTCTCACGGGAATTGATCCAGTGCATCTCATCCTAATGTTCATCCAAGGATGGATATCTCTTTTTACGATTCTCACCTTAACTCTTCTTCTCACTAGAACCCAACCCTATATGTATGTGTGTATGTATGTATGTGTGTGTGTATGTATGTGTGTGTATGTATGTGTGTGTATGTATGTATGTGTGTATGTATGTATGTATGTATGTATGTATGTATGTGTGTATGTATGTGTGTATGTATGTGTGTATGTATGTGTGTATGTATGTGTGTATGTATGTGTGTATGTATGTATGCATGTATATATGCATGTATGTATGCATGTATGTACAGAAAGAGTTTCATTTGAGATGTGGTAAGTAGTTGAGAAGTAAGAAGTGATCTTAACGCTTCATAATGTCATAATTGGTCAAGAAGGCGGCTTTAACTTGATAAAGACTGCAGATTTGACTGGCCAAGATTGTGGCTTTGATTGGTCAAGTGAAAAATAAAGGGGTAGTTTCGTAACTTTTACAAATAGGCGGCAAACACCTGCATGTGTGAACCTATAAGTTTAATTAGTTAATATGTGAATTAGTTAATTAGTTCATACATGAATCATATAGGTTCATATGTGAATAAGTTAAATAGTTCATATGTGAATTACACACGAGTTCACGTATGCATTTGTTTGCCGCATGTTTTTAAAAGTTACGAAACTACCCTTCTATTTTCCGCATACCATGCGATGAATTATGTGTTGATTCATACTTAAAGCCGCAAATATTGACAAGATAAAGGGTTAGGATCACTTATGTACTTCTCAAATACTTACTTCTTCTCAAATGAACCTATGGCTATATGTATATTTATACACACACACACGACATAAGAAGATTATATGCTTTTGTGTTTTTGGATATTATATATGTTGGTCTTACCCAGTGCAATGGAATATGATATCCGCTTCAACAGAGGGTCCATCTTGAAATGTTATCGTGCCATTTTTATTGATACATTCTATCTGTCAAAATTCAAATATAAATATAAAAGATGCATGATTTTGTTTTATCTTACATATCTTGAAGCATTACAAGAGATCAATTTCAATATCTATTCATTTTATAAATATGTTACATATTCTAATTTTTCACTTATTATCATTATACACATTTATGCATAGATAAAAAGACTCACCTACGAGTTCAATGAGTTCGATTATACAACCGTAGTCAGTATCCTACTTTTGGATATCTGGCAATATGCACAATTATTTGAATTTATATACGACTTAGGTGATCCGTATTTGTATATTTCATCGGTGTAAGTATATATTAAATGATCAACATAACTGCACAATGAAGATCATCTTCAATCTAAAAGGTTCAATGTAACATATTAATACTTAATAAATAAGATTCTATGAAATAAGGTGCTCTTTGATTCACAAACTTTAAAGGAATTCAAAAGAACTGGAAATATTAATTCCTTTGACCAAATTCCAATTCTTTTGTTTGGTTCACATATTGAAATGAAAGGAATTCTTTGAATTCTCTAAATCAAAGAATTGATCATTCTATGACATAAGTAAAGAAATTGAATTCCATCACCCATCCCTTGCCCCCACCACGACCATGCTAATATTGTTACCTTCACGCCCCACCCCTAACCCCCCAACCCCCACCACATTACTATTGTCACCATCACAACCGCCACCCATCCTCACCGACCATACCCCAGCACCCAACCCACCACTGACCACCATGCCACTAATGTTTTCATCACTCCCACCTCCCGTAGTCATGGGAAGGGGACCAGGATCCCAAGTCCAATCCCCATCCCTAATCCCAATCTACGTCCTCCTCCTTATCTCCACCGGAGAATATGATCACATCTGTTGGGGAATCGGAGAATTTTTATCCTTTAATATAATATATTTTAAATTAAATGTGTTAAAACCACACTCGATGGACAATAGTCCATGTTTACATCACACATATTTTCAAAATTTTCTCTTATAGAGTATCAAATGTTCATATGTGAACAAAATTACAACATTATACGTAAATGTTAGATCAAACACTTTCGACTTTCTACGTTTTTTTTATCTAAAAAAGGTAAAACAACTCTGAAAAAAAATGTATAGAAGAAATGTCAAAGTACTATTTTTAAATTTAAAAGATATTAAATCTAGTTCTTTATAAATAATATGTTTAATAATAAATAGATATAATATATTTAATATTCGGGGACCAGGTAGCGCAGGGACCACATTACCCGACCATGTCCCCATCCCTGGGTTTTAATTTTCGGGGATCCCCATCCTCGATCCCCGGTTTTACGGGGAATCCCGGTCCCCGCCGGGGCGGCTACACCGGGTTCCCCAACAAGACAGGTCTCATTTCCATTCCAACCCTCCATTACCCACCACACATCCCTATTACGATCGTGCTACTATTGTCACTATCATGCCCATACCCTACCCCCTCCTCTCCACCACAACACTACTGTCATGGTCACAACCCCCACACACCTTACCCCAACCCACCACTAACCATTGTGTCACTACTATCATCGTCACACCTACCCACCCCAACCCCCACCATACCACCATTGTCGTTGTTATA